GGTTGGGGTGCGTGAGAGTGATGCCAGTCGTGACTGATAGGTTCCGCAAGCTGTGTCTCAAGGCGCACAAGCGGTTGCGGCTGCTGCAGAGCACCCCCCCCGACGACGACGGTGCTAGCAACCGGGAGCTGAAGAGTAGTTGAGAAGCGGGGTGTCGCTGCGAAGCTCAAGCTGCCTGCCTCTGGGTGTGCACCAGGGGTAAATCCGTTTGCTTTTCATCGTGTACCACCCGTGGGGGAGTACCCCGCAACCGGGTTGCCGGACACACGACCCAAACACGGATTAGAACACGCCCAATGAGTCTCACCCCGCGCGCTCGCTCTGGATGCGCACCCTCCACACCACCCTCCCCCACGCCCCAGGGCTCGCCTCTCTGTTCGCAGCCACCTCCCCCCCTCGCGGTCTATCCCAGCATGCGTGGTGGCGAGGAGTGGTCCAAAGGGGGCATTGCCCCCCGTTCCACCCTCGGGGTCAGCATCCCGTGGCCTCCACCGCATATCGCCGACTCGCAGGGTTTGACCCCCGACCGAAACTGGCCCGAGGGACCCTCACCTGGCCGGCCACCGCTATCCCTACGACCAGGCTGCCTGCTACTGTGCTGCATGAATGGTTGGGCAAGTGTGAACAGCAGCTCGTGGCCACGGCGCGCAGGCGCCTGTTGATGGGTCCAGGTGATAGCCCTGGATAGGCAATGCATACGCCTAGTTGGGCCTCAGATCGCCCGACCGCGTCCCGGTGCTCTGTGGTCGGATTTGTGACGCCGCCGCACCGCGCCGCGGCCGGGGGCCCTCCGGAGGCCGAGGATGGCCGTGGCGGACCGGGACGAGCTCTGGGAGGTTCAGTGTCAGTGTATATCTCGCAAATACTTGATTTTTCCAGGCGATCGGATTTTTCCGCACCCTCGAAATTCGTAACAATCGCCTCGCCGCTCCACAATGCCTTTCTCCGTTGCCTCCAGCCGCGCGGCGCCATCGTCCTCGATCCAGTGCCGGCCTGTGACAAGCTTGGCAGCTCGCGGATCGACGATCGCCACGAGTTGCTGCCCGGCGACCGCCGCTCGCCTTCGACGACAGTCGTAACAATCGGCGGTGAGCGGCACCTCCTTGGCCCAGCACCGGTGTTATCACGTCTCAGCTGCTTCATTGCCATGTCCAGTTATGGCGGAGACGCGCTGATAGCATTCCTGTGCACGCAGTTGGACCAGCACGGCCATCGGGTGCGTGGCGCAAAAAGACCTGTTTGCGCTGTCTTCGATATCAGCGGCTACATGCGCTGCTGCGCGTACCTGTGATTCACAAATGTTGATCACATCCATATACCTCACTAACATACAGCTGGCGAGCATTGCATCCCTCGTCTGGCCATGCTGTGCATCATCTCACCGTATGCAGCCGTATACGCCCACGGTGCTCACAGGGTCGGGCGTCACGGTGCTCGTGGCAAGCATCTCCGTCACTCTTGTGACTTGTGGGCTTGGTGGTGTTGCCTCCGGTGCTACTGCTGGCTAGGGTGCCAATGGCGCGACGGGAGGCGGCCATTGGCGCCACTACAGCAACGATTGTTACGCCGTGGAAAAATCCGGATTTCGTGCCCCGAACCGGCCGACACGTGGCCGCATATATGTGTATATACCACGTCCGTATGGGCTGCACAAGCCAAACCACGCTCATCACAGCTTGCCACAGTGTGGCTCCTGGCAGTGGTAAGCCATTCTTGGTGTACCAGCTCACAGCAGGGCCGTTTGATCACGATTGTTACACGGCGTGAAAAATCAAGTATTTGCGAGATAGCTCTTACGAACATACCCGTAGGTGAACTGCTGACAGGGTTTGCGATGAGGAGCGATCCGAACGTGGTATTCGGGTGATCAGATCACTACCGCCGAAGCGCAAGCGCTTGGAGCAAGGGAACTGCCACGTATGGGTCCCAGACTAGCACCCCACCTCGCGGGCCGACTTTTTCTTCTCTCCGGCTGGCTTTACGGCTACCGACACGACCAGAAAAATGCAGTGCCGTGCCCCCGAGTTCATTTAAAAAATGGCATTTTTTCGAAACGCGCGAGTAGATGAGCGACTTGCTGACGCCGTCGAAGACGCTCGCTCCCTTCTTGCGTCGAAGTTCGCGCTCAAGGGCTTCTTCAACACGCTGCGCGTCGAGCTCGGAATCTCGGAGCCGGTCCCGCCGACCGTCACGCTCGCGTATCCCGGCGCCGTCAACACGCCCGTGAACAATGCGCGCCTCGGCACCGGCGACGGCGCGGTCGACCTCGACCTGACCAAGAAGAGCATGTCGCCCGACCGATGCGCCGCCATCATGGTGGCCGCCCACGCGGTCGGGCGGCGCGACGTCTTCTACTCGATCGACGGCACGCTCGCTGGCGCCATCAAGACGCGCCTCCTCCGCCACCTCGCCTTCTTCTTCCCCGCCGGCTCGGACAGGGTGCTCGCCAGGGCGATGCGCGTGGGCGAGATGAGCAGCAAGAAGCCGGCGCGACGACAGCTCATGGCTGTGCTGCGCGGCGCCGGCCGACTCGTCATCGCGGGCCAGCGCTGGGCTTCGGACGAGGTCGCGCACGTGTGCCGCCTTTCGGAC